ATTATATTTATGTAATATTAAGAATATTAATTTATTATGTTTTTTCAATATTAACTTAATTTTGTTAGATAAAATAAATAATTCTTTTTTAGGGATGCAATGAAGAATAGAGGTGTTTGGGGAATATCTCACACAAGAGTGCCTACTGAATCAAGACCAGGACATGTTGCAATCGCTGCAGGATTGTACGAGGATCCTAGTGCCATTTTCAAAGGATGGCAGGAGAATCCAGTTGACTTTGATTCTGTCTTCAATCAAAGTCATGCAACTTGGGCTTGGGGCAGTCCAGATATAGTATCACTGTTCACAAAAGGTATTCTAAAAGAAAGATCTAAAAGAACAGCATCGATATTCATTATTTCTCATGCTTATTTTGAAATTTTGAAAAGTTAGGTAGCAAACACAATGTTTATGGACAAAGTTATCCATCTGCGTGGCAGGATTTCGATACAAAATTGAGTAATCAAACAAGACGTCTGGATTCCTGGGTGTTTGATGCTTATTTGAAATGGCTACAATCCTCAGTAGCCGAGACAGTCATAAATCAAAATGGAATCATCTTGTTCTTTCATCTGCTTGGATGTGATACCCTGGGGCATGCTAAAAAACCAAATTCCAGGTATCCGAATTATTTTAAACTATTGTTGTTGATTACTATTTTACTGTTTTCAAAGTACAGAATTATTAAAAAGGAAATTTTGAGATTAGAGAATATGTAGACAATATGAACTATGTCGATAAGAGGATTGAAGAGGCTGTGAATGCGACAGAAGACTTTTTTGAGAAGGGCACCACCGCTTATATATTCACATCGGATCACGGAATGACTGATTGGGGATCTCATGGAAGTGGTTTGCCATCTGAAACTGAAACGCCGTTAATCACTTGGGGAGTAGGAGTAAAATCGTCTGGTTTTCGTCAAGACGTTGAACAAGCGAGTATAACTCCCTTGATAGCATCCCTAATAGGAATTCCTATTCCTATAAATAATGAAGTAAGTATTAGTATAAGTTTATGTATCATATAAGATCAGATTTATGTACTATATATGTGCCTATATTGTATAAAATATTTATTCGTAAAATACTTTTTTAGGGTGCACTACCATGGCAGTATTTCAATTTAGATTATCGTGAATATGTCGCTCGTTCTTTAATCAGCAATGTGAAACAACTAATGCATCAAATAACAGAAAATCGTGTGATAAGTTGTCAAGATAGTGATTATACTGATTGGCGAGAGACACAGATAAATGATAAAATTCGTAAAGCCCAACAACATATAAGTAAAAGAAATATAATGGCAGGAATTCGAGAGGGCAATGATGCAATTAGTTTGAGCAAGGAAGCCTTATTGTATTTCAGACAATATCAACGTATACGATTTTTAATATATTTGTCAATAATGTGGCTTAGCTGGATAGTTATATTATTCTTCAAAATAGCTGGAGCAAAGCGTCAATATTCGCGAATTTTTCTTCTACGATTAGTAAACGTTGGATTTCCATGTTTATTAATAATAATGTTAATTGTACACATAAGTGAGTAATCATTTCTAAACAAAATATATTGAGTAAAAATCAGTGATTTTATTTGAAAAATGGACACTTCATTTATAAACATTAACTTTTACTTACAGCGTCTAATTGTAACAACTGGAGATTACCATGCTACGCATCCTTTGCTATAATATCTGCGTGGTTTGCCGTTACTACTTATATTACATCGACGCCTGTATTTGCAGAAACGAGCACACAAACGCTAGTCATAGATATTGGAGGCACTCTGTTACTACTAGTTATAATATTTGCCGGATTAACATATAGATTTGCTTTCAGCATAGGAATACTGTTACTCTTATTGATACGAGCAATAAAATCAGAAGATGTACCAACTTCTATGATTTGGACTTCGATTGCACTATGTGTATTTCCATTACTGCCTGTCGTTGAGCCATATCCACGCACTTATATTGTGTAAGTTTATCTCGCAAATTTAATCAAGTCAGACATTTAAAATTATTTTATAGTACAGGAATATTGATCATAAGAAATTGATAAAAAAAATTTATTTTTTTTTCTTTCTTTTAATTAATGATATTAGAAAAGAATATACATGATATATAGGAATTTGGTATAAAAATTTTTTGATTAACTTAATATCTTCTTTATCGTTTTTCAGGATAATTGGCATATGTATAGCAATAGCGATAGTGATTATTAACGAGATGTCACAAAGTCGGAGAATAATGGAAATTGTACGTCTAGTCGTCACAAGTGTTGTATATATGGAGTTCATCGATGGTCGTTATTGGATATCGTGGATTATCCTGCTGACTGCACCATTAAGCATTTGGTGTCATCCAATAGAGAACAAAAAAAGAACGCTGGGCGTAATGCTCGGATTTTTCTGTTCTCTTACATTGTTGTCGGCTTCTTACGAGCCGATCTTCTTCATGACTCTTACACTCAATTTAATTTCCTGGTTGGAAGCTACTTCAACTACCTCAAAGATCTCAGGAGAGCGAAACATCACAGAAGACTTGATCAAAGCGGCGTTTTTCGTATCCTTTTATCATCTTTCAGAAAAATTTTTAAATACCATAAGTTTTTTTAACACAAGAGTGATATTTATATCTGGATTAATTAAAGATAATTAGAGCGTTAAAGAATTAATTTTCGACACTTCTTTCTTGATTTATACATATAATATAGATAA